GACTGAAGACCAACAATTTCGTAATCATCATCGTCATCCCCACCAGCAGTAGCAGACATGAACGAGACCATTCATGTAACTCCTTGCAAACCCCAGTGCCTACGCAGTGAACCCAAACTCCAGGTATGTGGACATCATGGGGATGGTTTGAAAGTCCCACCAGCTTCTTGGATTGGCCAAGTCTGCACTCACGGCTTAGGATCTAGGGTTTCGTGGTTAGCTTTAGAGGGTTAACGCACGCAGACCCTTGATACATGAAAGCTCCAAGAAGTTTCCGGTTGTTTCAGGCCAAGCTAGACTTGACTCTGTCGCTTCTCAGCTGGTCTGGGACTTAAGGGTTATTTAGGGTTTAGAGGTAAGGGTTCAGGGTTTGGCGGGATTTGAAACCCCAAACCTAAACCCAAAGATTTGGGCCCTGAAAGCTCGAAGCGTTTGCAGCCGGAGCGTGCTCATCCTCAAACGCCCGAGGGACAGGCCTTCCCAAAGGCGCTGCAGTCACTACTATAGGGGCCTGAATAACTAATTGCATATACTGTTTTGGGGGCTCCGTTAAAAGTATAGTATGATATACCCCCAAGCCTATTCTAATTAGTAAGGCCCCTATATTAGTGTTTTAATGTAGACGTCCGAGTTAGCATTCGTTAGGGCTCCTTAATGTGCCATAAGATGCCCTAAGCCTAAATCTTATTCTGATTAGGAAGGTCATATTCTTTCAGTCTGATGTACGGCAGAACCGTTCAATCCCTACATAAAATGAAGGCCGTGTTTCTGAGGCACTTCTTCGTTCTGACGAGATACTCAGGAGGGCTCCGTGGGGGCTTGGCGATTTCGTACCCTGAAATGGGCTAGCTGAGGATGCAGGGATCTTTGCCAGGTGTGTAGGGCGATTCTGATGAACTTATGTATGCACAAAAGGGATCGAAATAGCGAGTCGGAGTACACCCGCCTTGTAAATTCTAGTACAGGCCCCCATATTACCTCCCCGAAGAGAAGCCCCTAGCAGCATAAACGAAAGAATGAAGTTTGCTGTTCCCAAGGCCAATAACCTAATCCTGACTCCTCAAACCCAGCCCCGTGCTGCTTAAGCCTTAGCAACGAAATTCTCAATCATTCATGTCGAAGTGGCTGATTGCTAAGCGCCAAACCCTAAGCGGCTAAACCGCACAACTGAACAAGCACCCCAAGAAGTGCCGTCGTAACCCGTATGGAACCCCCAACCCTGAACACTATTCGACCCAAACGCTTCAGCAATGTTGACATTGAAGTCTCACCTTGGTACCCATCGCTGAGGCCACCAACGCCACTCACCTGGAGTGAGTCAATCCATACAGGAGCCATGTCAAGGTTAAGTTGTTCAGGGCTGAAAGTGCAGGGTCCAGGGTTTCAGGGTTTAATTTCACGGCCTGAATAATATTTATCACGACTAAATTATTCTGGTGTTCCTGATTATAATATGCCGCCAAAGCCTATTAAAAAATCACACAAAGCACCTATGTTACTTATCGGGATTCAGGGTTTAAGATTCCGGGTTTCGGGTTTAGGCTTGAGGGCTAGGGAAACTCCTGAGCGCATGGTCTTGCCCTGGAGGGTGTAGGGTGTAAGGGTTTAGGGTGTAGGGTTCCAGGTTTAGGGTTTAGTGTTTAAGGTTATGTAGTTCTCCAAATTTGGCCCCTTTTGGGGTTTAAGGTCATGTGCCCAACTAGTACATACCTTGGCCTGAAAGTAGCCCCGATCTTAGGATTCGCGCTTGAGGATCCCGGGTTCGGGTGTTGGGGTTTCAAGGAATTATGAGACCACCGCTGCAGTCTAGGATTCACGGTTCAGGGGTCAGAAGCATTCAGGGTGCAGGGTTTAGGTTCAGTTTGCATTTGGTCTGTGTCTTTGATGTTCGGTTCCGTTGCGTACGGACATGGCCCCGCTGCAATGCTTTGTCAGGTGCTTGAAAAGGAACAGAAGTCTAGTGAGACAAATTAGCATGCGAAGCGTATGTTCCTTCTTTCTGCATGCAATCCTGGGTTGTGTTCCTTTCCAAGAGCCCAGTCATGGGGTGCGGTGAAGGCTGCGCACGAGCAGCTCAGGAAGCTTGGGTTCCCATCCTCATGTCTTCGCTAAATCGTCCAGTATGCCTGGATCATCTTCATGCCTGCAGTGGTATGATGGTGGTCATGATGACGACGATGATGATAGTGATGAGGGTGATAATGGCAGTGACGGCCATGTTGCGCAGCACCATCAAGCACGGTAACTTAAAGAACAAGCAGTCGATGAGAGTAGTAAATGCACGGCTGTCAAGGAACTTGTTGGCAGCACTGACAACCACTGACAACCATCTTCTGCATTAATGCTTTTAGCTAAGTATTTTATATGGGTAGTTGTCAAAATTATGATCCCTAATTGGGTGCGCTAAATATTAGGTGCCGTATTATATTTAAGGACCCAAAAAGGGACCCTAATTTTGACAACCACCCATATCCGCATACGAAGGTCGACTTCATCAGTCTATAGTATACGTAGAGCATGGCTAGCATTTCCACACAGCGCCGTGAGAAAGGCGATAAGGCGCCGCCACAGCTCTGAATCGTTTAGCTCTGTAGCCCTACACCTTAGCTGGTTTAGGGCTTAGAGTCTAGGCTTGTGGATGTCACTTCACAGCTCCAGCAGCTAGTAGCTGAGCCACTCGTGTGCAGTAGCCGGCACCGTCTCAGCATTAGGCCAGGGTCCTTCGGCATAAAACTCGAAAACACAACCACTACAAACGTGACTTCCCAAAGAAATACTAGTCTTGTTGCACCGTGCTTTCTTGCTCTTGTACCATGCCGCCTCGGCCGAAATGCTGAGTCCGAGCCCGGCTTTAGCTTGAGCCCCCGCTGATATCGTACGCTTGCGCTGGCTGGCGATGTCTGTTGGGGTTTGGTGGTAGGGTTCAACCTAATAACCTAATGTATAGCAGACTGCTCTTGGCCCCATTACGGTGCATGTCTTCATACTCGGGATACCAGGATTTTCAAGGTTGGAGTCTATGTTGTCAGCTTCACAGCTCTGAGGACACTCCGTAAATGAACCTGCGAGCCCAAGCCGCAAAGTCCTCAGCCTTAAAGCCCTACCTTGAAAACCCTGTGCTATAAACCCCAGCAGCGTAAAGCATTGTTAAACCCTGCAGCTGGCAAGCCCCAAACCCTAAACTCTAATCCCAAACGACGGGAAGCCCCTGTAAACCTTACGGAACCTTAGAGAATTTTTCTAGCTCTTGGTGGAAACCTCGACCAAAATAGAACCCTATAGACTGACTGCACATCCTCCATGAAAGCTGTAAATCCGACACCCCTGGAACTCAAGCGCTTACATCCCTATGCCCTAAACCCACTCCTACTTGGAGGATCATGGGACTTAGTAAACAGGGTTATAAGTAATTACCTTAATTGGGGTAATAAGTAATTATATCTGTAGCTACCTTACTTATAACCCCCTTTACTGAGTCCCATGATCCTTTAAGTATAGCCTCATGCTTAAAACCAAATCAAAGCCTTCGAGACATCTCCAAGCCTTGCAGCTGCCTCCTGGGCCCAGCGCTTTGGTGCTGCGAAGCCACGAAGTCCCTTTCAAAGGTTAGCGGCTAGAGTGCTTTTTTGGAAGGGGAGGATTGGGGTTAGAGGTTTTGTTTAGGGTTTCAGTTTCGGTGGGTTTAGGATGTCAGCGTTTAGGGTTTCCGGGATTCTTGTCACTAGGTTGCGGGCGGCGACGATGTTGAGCCCATGCTTCTTCGTTTGTCTTGGACCCATACTGTGTTCGTTCAATTGCTGGGGTGGCGCGCTGGCCGTTTCTTGTAACTTGTTCCAACCACCGAGAACGAATTCATCAACCAGCTATTGAAAAGACCCTAAACCCTAAACCCTAAAGGATGATGCGACACTTCTGCGGGTCTGTCGGCATGTGACTTCGTGGCATGGGTGGCGCAATACATCGAATAGAGCAGATGTGAGTCCGCCTACAGGTTTTATCCAAGAGACTTGCTGAAGGAAAGCTTGAAAACGTCACGTTTTGAGCGATCTGAGCGTTTAGGGTTTAGGCTGTATAGGGGTTAGGGTCTAGGGTTCAGGGGGGGTAGGGTTTAGGGTTTAGGGGTTTGGTTGATCGCTGAAGCCACCATGTGTTGCAGTCTGAGCTTTCTAGTTGTCACGGGTGAAGATTGGCTCGGCCCGGGCTAGAGTCTGCGCTATTCTTGGCCTACCACAGTCTCCATTGGAGTTCCTGTTTTTGGCTAGCCAGTTTTGCAGTTGGGATCCTATAATATAAATTTGGTAGCGAAAACAGGAGCTGCACTGGAGACAAAGGGTAACTACGTGATTCGGCTTGAGATCTTGTATAGTCGTGTAAGGGTTGGCTGACCTTCACGGAGTGTCCCAAGTAGGACGTGGTGTTTAAACTCGGTGGTAAAGGACCTGAACTTGTTCCGAAGACATTTGACACAGACCTGTAGCTAAGTTCCGGGCCTTACCTAACTCTTAGTGAGAATCCACTGCGAGATCTAACCCCTCTAAGTGTGTGAGAATTTGAGGGTCAGTAGACCCTGACCGCTATAGCATACTCATAACCTTTGTTGCATGTCCCTTCTCTTCAACCTATCATCGGCGAGAGACAGAGGTAGTTGGCCACAACTACCGTCGTAGTCAGAGAACAGCGACGCCGTGTGTAGCGGTGGAATCGCAATAATACGAATGCCTATGTACACGTCGGCGGTTTAAGGCTGAGGGCCTGTAGAGTGGGGTTTGGTTTCCCGTAGACTGTAGAAGTTTGGCATGCCAGGGTTGCGCAAGGAGCTCTTCTTCACAGTTCATGCTTGAGCAATGCTAGTTCCTTGATTTTCAGGCGCTGAGACACTTCAAGGGGTTGCTGGCATTCGGGCTTGACGTGTTCGAACCCTTAACCCAAAACTCTAGGCCTCCGCCCCAAACCTTAAACCCTAAACCCTTCACTTCAACCTCTAAACCCAGTGCATCGAGGTACTTGGCTAGCAGCTTCACCACCTCGGCACCGTCGGGGCCTTGCCCGAGCGGGTACATTTCTAAGTCCGCGGCCTGTGGTCCTCCGAGCCGTACACTCGCGAGCTGTCCGGGGTTGGGGTTTAGGGTCTCTGTCTCTCTGTCTCTCTGTCTGTCTCTCTGTCTGTCTGTCTGTCTCTCTCTCTCTCTCTCTCTCTCTCTCTCTCTCTCTCTCTCGCTCTCTATGTGTATATATATATATATATATGTATATGTATATCATACAGTATGTGTAGATATGTGTATATATATATATATATAAACACAGCTGTATGCACATATGTGTGTGTGAATATATATGTAGAGCGAGAGAGAGAGAGAGAGAGAGAGAGAGAGAGAGAGAGAGAGCATTGGGTGGATAGGTAGAGAGCCACATCAGTTGATATAGATAGGAGCTTCGTATTTCTATTTCTACCCATATTTATGTCTTTATGTTTTGGTAGGTTTAAACTCAAGTTAATGTGTACATACATATATATATATATATACATACATATTTTTTTGTTCAGTCCTGAGGCCTGAAGGACGGCTTTAAGAGTTGCTGAAAACATGGCGCAAGATCCGAGCTCCTGATTCCGAGTTCGTTGCTTTTCGGGGCCTACGACGTAGGGTCGCTGGCTGGGTCTGCTAAACCCTATGACCTGCTGACATTCCATCTCGATTTTTCTTGCAATTTGGGCATCCTCAGATTTGATGTTACTTCAGTCGTTCCCCTGATTAACGTCAGCAGCGGAGCAGCACCATAGGCATAAATACTGTTGACTTGTTGTGGGGCACGGGGCCAGTAGCAATGAGAATGCTTGCCATCATGAAACGGTCTGTCATACCCTGTTGTCTGATACGGCGTAGTTAGTACTTACATCTTAAACCACGGAAGATCTGAAGCTTCCAACTGTTGCAGCTCAAAGTATACAACTCTCCGCCGCATCATAGAGAAGTCCATGGAAGCCATCCTCAAGCCCCAAACTCTAAACCTTTATAAACCCTAAACCCTATAAACCAACCCTAATCCCTAAACCCTAAACTCCTAAACTCATCTAAACCCGTAAGAGCCCTAAACCCCAAAAAGCAACCCAAGTCCCCAAACCCTCATGCCTTATAGACCCTAAACCCCGCTCGAACCGGGCGTTGTGCCGCAGGCACGGCCGTAGGAGCTCCCCGCAAATGCTGTTTTTACTGGCAGGCGCGGCACTTTCGCAGTGTTGCAAGAAGAGAAACGTCCTGAAGTCCAGGTGGCTACTTTTTTCAAAAATAGCCACCTCGGCTTTAAGCCCTTTCCAGGGCTTCAAAGAGCTTTGAAGTCGATTTGCTTGGCCAGCGTGGGACTTCGTGCATGTCGGAGGATTTTGGTGATTTGTTCGTGGGAGGCTGATTTTGGCAGAGTTTGTGCTCTATGAATTGGTGTGTTTTTTTGTGAAGTTCAAAGTATCGACCAAGGCTCCTTGTCGTGCAGCTGCTCATAAGGATGCTCTGCGGGCATGGATGGGGTCTGATCTGGACGTTATCATGGTTGGGACATGGATGCTCTGCGGGCATGGATGGGGTCTGATCTGGACGTTATCATGGTTGGGACATGGATGCTCTGCGGGCATGGATGGGGTCTGATCTGGACGTTATCATGGTTGGGACATGGATGCTCTGCGGGCATGGATGGGGTCTGATCTGGACGTTATCATGGTTGGGACATGGATGCTCTGCGGGCATGGATGGGGTCTGATCTGGACGTTATCATGGTTGGGACATGGATGCTCTGCGGGCATGGATGGGGTCTGATCTGGACGTTATCATGGTTGGGACATGGATGCTCTGCGGGCATGGATGGGGTCTGATCTGGACGTTATCATGGTTGGGACATGGATGCTCTGCGGGCATGGATGGGGTCTGATCTGGACGTTATCATGGTTGGGACATGGATGCTCTGCGGGCATGGATGGGGTCTGATCTGGACGTTATCATGGTTGGGACATGGATGCTCTGCGGGCATGGATGGGGTCTGATCTGGACGTTATCATGGTTGGGACATGGATGCTCTGCGGGCATGGATGGGGTCTGATCTGGACGTTATCATGGTTGGGACATGGATGCTCTGCGGGCATGGATGGGGTCTGATCTGGACGTTATCATGGTTGGGACATGGATGCTCTGCGGGCATGGATGGGGTCTGATCTGGACGTTATCATGGTTGGGACGTGGATGCTCTGCGGGCATGGATGGGGTCTGATCTGGACGTTATCATGGTTGGGACATGGATGCTCTGCGGGCATGGATGGGGTCTGATCTGGACGTTATCATGGTTGGGACATGGATGCTCTGCCGGCATGGATGGGGTCTGATCTGGACGTTATCATGGTTGGGACATGGATGCTCTGCGGGCATGGATGGGGTCTGATCTGGACGTTATCATGGTTGGGACATGGATGCTCTGCGGGCATGGATGGGGTCTGATCTGGACGTTATCATGGTTGGGACATGGATGCTCTGCGGGATCGGATACTGGGCACCCGGATGGGGTCCGAGTGCGGCGTAACGGCTGGTTCGAGGGCTAAACCCTATAAACCCTATAAGCCCCAAACCCTTTAGCCGACCCAAAGGGTCCAAAGGACCCGATGATTATGTACTCGGTTTTAGGATAGTAGCTATGTAGGTTAGGATTTTGGAGAGTAAACTTGGAGGGGCAGGCGACTTAGGTTATAATTGGGGTAACTCCATTTAGGGTACTTACAACTCTACTCAAGACCTACTTACCCAGTCCCCTGCCCCTCCAAGTAGAGCCTAAACCCTACACCCCATAGATCCCTGTAAGGTACCCTATAGATCCCTTTAAGGAGCTCTTTAAGAGCCCTTACTAAGTCCCCTGCCCCTCCAAGTATGATCATGAAGTACTTGGACCCTTGGAGCGAGTCCAAGGCTCTCCTCAGTTCCCTAAACGCTGGAGCCAAGGCCCCGGATAAGAACCATCTTCGGCATCGAGAAGCCTGCGTCCCAGCGGCTTCGGGTTTAGGGGCTTCTAGGGTTTATGGGGTTTAGGGTTTATAGGGTTTATAGGGTTTATAGGGTTTATAGAGTTTAGGGGTTAGGGTTTATAGAATTTAGGGTTTAGGGTTTATGGGGTTTAGAGTTTACATGGTTTACAGGGCTTATAGGGCTTATACCACATACCCCGCTTTGCTTCGAGGACCTGTAAGTTCGGATATATGTCAAGTTTTAAATTTGGCAACTTGTCCTATAAGAAATGTTCGGGCACATATAAGTTTAGTAAGTTTGCTTTGACATACATGTTAGTTCGGCTCTTTCCGGGAATGCTTCCGCATTGCTACTGCGGCAAATGCCTGCAACAGCGCCTGCTGCGCTGTAATTGCTGGGACTGCACCACCCCGCCTGGGGTCAAGAAGCGGGGCCACAAATGCGGGTTCGGCCCTGGAATTGAGAGGCGGCTTCGGTTCTACGGACACAAGGTGGCCGACCTGGTGCAAGCGGTGGCCCATGGCCACAGCACAGATGAGGCAAGGCGGGTTGTTCACACGGCAAACTCCACCCAGGAGGTGATCGATGCGCAAGCCGCGGAGCTGGCAAAACTTCATCAGAAGAGGGAAAGGGAGGACGAGGAGCTTCTGTACCAGCAGCAACTAGCCAAGGGGTTGCAGGACCCTACCTTGCGTTTTCTCTTCGTACTCAGTTCTTGCTTCGGGGGCGGGACTGTCTGTTTTTGACGGGTTGCTTGGAGGCTGCAGACACTCTCCTGCTTTCATGCATACCCACATGCATGACAATCATGACACGCCTAAACGGGTGCGTCGCGAGTACCATGCCGGTGCGGTTTAGGGTTCAGGGTTTAGGGCTTATAGAGTTTAGGGTTCAGGGTTTATAGGTTTTAGAGTTTACATGGTTTACAGGGTTTATAGGGTTTATAGGGCTTATACATAGGGTTTTTAGGGTTTATAGGGTTTATGGGGTTTTACAGGGTTGATCTAAGGTTTAGGGTTCAAGGATATGCCTTGGGGGTGTAAGAGGGAGAGAACTTGGTTAGGCAGCTTGATTCTGCCACGATATGAGTTGTTGGGGTAGGGCTTACTGGCGGTATACTTGGCGGCTGTGGTGTTTTTTGTTTTCAGGGATTAGGGCGGGAAGCATAGGTGTTCGGGGTTTGGGGGTTGTGTTGTTGGGGTGTCGCTTGAGGTCGGAGGATGGAGGAAAAAAACGACCTGCTCGTGCGGTTTCATTTGCTCAACACGGAGGATTTCACAAACCTTCAACCCTAAATCCTAAACCCTAAACCCTAAGCTAAACCCGCCTGCAAAACCTTTCGGCCTTTGAGACCTAAAACCCGAAAGCTGCTTTCTAAACTCCAAGACCTGAGGGGATGTCTGTCGGGGTTTCAGTATTTCCTTGAAGGCACAAACTTTTTCAATGTAGGGACCTGATTAAGAAACCCTGGCCCTATAGCTCCAATGTAGTAGGATTCATACAAGGCTAATAAAGACCCAAGGTTTCTTAATCAGGCTCGTACATTAGGCCAGGGAACCTCTTACTATAGGCCCTGAACCCAAAACTTGCAACCCAAATCCCAAGCTTCAACCGTAATTCCAACGCATTAAACCCCAAACCCTAAGCCTACTTGGAGGATCATAGGACGTAGTAAATAGGCTGTACTTCAACTGGGGTTATAAATAATTCTAAGTGTAGTTACCTTAGGTAAAACCCCAATTATTAAGTCCCATGATCCTTTAAGTAGAGCGTGACTCACAAGTTCGAAGTTGAAAACCCCTCAAACTTAAGCCCTGCACCCCGAAACTGTGAAGCCGACAACAGGCCGCAGGAGGTGGCCAGATACCAACGGTTTGTGGGGGCCCCAGGGCTTATGGGTATCAGAGATTTGGGTAATGTATGAAATTCGATTTAACGGTTTGAGGCTGAGGGTTCATGATTTTACGTAATGAGGGGTCAGGGCCGAAGAGGTTCAGGCTAAAGGTGTATTTAGCGTTTAGTTGTTTTCGGCTGTGGCTGTACCTTGTTGAATCCAGAAAAGATCTACCACAAGTATTGACCTTCCTGCTGGTAGCTTCAACGACACGAACCTTGTCCCAAGAATCCCAGTCTATAGTAGAAGCCAGGAAACCGACCACTACTATCCTCATGCCCGTATAAGGGATCCTAGCACAAATCCTCCTAAGCCCATGTTCCATCGTTGTGGGATTCGCTATCCCTAAACCCTAAACCCCTAAACCCGAAATTGTTATAAGACACCCACATGAAATGCGAGAGTTCAGGCGAGCGCTTCGAATCGGATGCTGTTATGGCAGGGGCGGGGCTGCTCAGAGAGGGTCTCTGCTTAAAGGATCATGGGACTTAGTAATTGGGGGTCCTTACGGGGTCCCTTTTAGGGGATCTATAGGGATATTATAAGGGTTTAGGGGATCATGGGACTTAGTAATCGGGGGTCCTTAAGGGATCCCTTTATTGGGATCTATAGGGGTACTATAAGGGTTCAGGGTTTAGGGTCTACTTAGAGGATCATGGGACTTAGTAATTGGGGTTACATGCAAGGTAACTACACCTATAAGTACTTAATAACCCCAGTTTACAAGAACTTATAACCCTATTTACTAAGTCCCATGATCCTCCAAGTAGTACTTGTACTAGGTTCCTGAGCAATTATTACCCTTTTGGCCTTTTTATTCTAGGATCCCCTTATTAAAACCGAATGGTAGGAAAAAGGGGCTACTCAGGAACCCAGTCCATAGAAGCCTTTAGGGACCCTTATTATAGCTTTACTATAAAGGAACCCGAAACCAAATCCTCATTATTAAGGCCCCTACAGGAAGACTCTGGGGCGACCACGTAGTAGCTGAGTAGGTGGCCTTAAGCCTTTGGGGGCTTATATAACCCTACCATAATTGAAACGGTTAACCTTTTGGGGGCGAAGGTGTTCCAGATTCACGTTTGAGGTGGCAGGCTTGGGATTTCCAAATTTTGCAGTCTAGGGTTTCGGGCTTGGGATTCTGATTCCAAACCAAGTGATGCTGAGGGTGGTGATTTGAGACTCAGGGCTTGGGGCTTCGGGGTGCAGAAGGGGGCACAAAGGATGTACAGCCTATGAGTTTAGGATTTAGGGGGCAGTGTTTAGGTTCCTTGTTCGCAGTTTGAGGCTAAAGGTGAAGCACCTGCACTTCCATGCAAATCCAAACCCGTCCATGCAAATCCAAACCCGACCAGAAACCCCACGCCCCATTGCCCTCAGGCCATCAAAGCCTCAATCACAATCCTCCACGCTAAATCTTAAATCCCGACCCCCCTTTTCGGAAAACTCGATGAGTCCCGATGAGTCCTATGAGTCCTGTACCTTTGAATCCTGAGCGCAGCGCTGGAAATGTCCTTGGTTAGCGGTCCTTTCCGACATCCTCGAATTGGACTTTCGGGGAGATAGCTCTCCATCGAAGATCCGATTGCCGGAGGGCCTCAGCCCTATATACTCCTGGTTCTGTATGTGTTCGAGGTTTAGAGCCCGGGTTCATTCCAAATCGAAAAACTCATTGCAGAAGCCTTATCGAGACCCCGCGAAACACACGTTCACCCAGCCATCGAAGCCCAGCCACGATTTGGTGATTCGCCAACCAACAATAAACCTTCGAAGCATGCATTCAGTGTCCCTCAAACCTACAAAAAATAGCACGTCTAACACCCTAAACCCTTAGACCCCGGAAAACCCTGAACCCTTGAACCCCTTACACCTTTAAGCGCTACCAATCTCAGGCCTGTCGAGCCGTAAGCGCCCAAACCCCAGAACCTCTTGTAGAACCAATACACTAAACAAGTACATCACTAAGCCCTAAACCCTAAAAACCCGAAACCCATTCAATTGTCTGTCTAAAACCCTAAGACTGTTTTTCAGCTACACTCTGTTTAGGGTTTGGGATTTTAGGGATTAGGGTTTCGGGTACAGTACCTAATCAAAAAGCCCTGTCTTTTTCGAAGCTTTAAGATTAAGATGCTCAAAGGGCGCCGTTGACGAGCTGGCTAAGCCTCCTTGCCGGGGGGCCGCGGCTGCCGCCCAAAGAGGCGGAAGCTTGATGTGACCTGTGTTGGGATTTCGTGGGCTGCTTGGGAGTTCTGTAAGGTGTCATAGGATTTTGTAGTGTAGGGCTTTGTGGGCTTATAGGGTTCTTGTACGGCTTCAGGGGCTTGTAGGGCTTTCGGGGTTTTATAGAGCATGTGGGCATTTTTTCGTGGCTGCACAGGTCTGTGCATAGGTTTTTAACATGCGAACATAAGGGTTCTTGCAGGGTTTCTTAAGGAGGCTGTATTGAGGTTGCTTTAAAGATTCCGGTTCTGTAAGGGTTCTAGATAAGGGGTTGAGATAAGGGACTGCCCCGAAACAGTAAGAGTATATAATAGAGCTACTACGAAGGTCCTAATATATCTATACTATGAATGCTATTCAACTATTACTGAGATGGGGGCCGTACCCAAGGTTGAGAGTTTAGGGTTGGTGGTACAGGGTTTAAACCCTAAACCCTAAAAGCCCTAAACCCTAAACCCTAAACCCTAAAAGCCCTAAACCCTAAACCCTAAACCCTAAAAGCCCTAAACCCTAAACCCTAAAAGCCCTAAGCCCTAAAACCCCTCAACCCTAAACCTTAAACCCTAAACCCTAAGCCCTAAACCCCAGGGGTCAGGTGAGTGCCAGGATCTCGGGTTTGTAGATTAGGGCCTGAGACTGCAGGGCCTGCACTTGCCGTGCTCCATGAATCCTGACCTAGAGAGCCAGCACTGTTGGAGCCCAAAGTAGTACGGTTGATGATACAAATCCTGCATTACCCAAAAGTTACGGGATATACCCTTAATTCCCATAGTCTAGGGTCATTATGGTAATGCAGGGTTTATATCATCAACTCTAGTAACCCCATGATGAGCCCCCAAGGCCGAACCCCAGGCTGCGAGACGTCCCCAGGGGAGGTTCAGAAAACAGGGACCCCAGACACGACCCGTCGCTAGCAACATCCTCGTTCTGGGAACCTAAAGGGACCCTTAACAGTTAAATAAAGGACTCCTGGTTCAAGAAGCCCCAGAGCCCCACACAAAAACACAATAAGACCCGTGTGAGCTTGGTTTCAAGCCTTTGCAACATGCTAGGAAACCCCTCGCAACGAAAGATCTTGCGACTCTGCACGTATCTGCCTAGAAGGATTGTTTCTTTCGAACAAGCATGCCGTTCACAGGCGCCCGAGTCCGGCTACGCCTTCGGCAAAGGCCTCTACTTCTTCAACGCTGCACGTAGGGCTCTCGGATAAATCTTCATGAACTGGGCTTTACATGATAGGTGTAGCATTTGCGTTTAGGGTTTAGGGTTTAGGGATATGAGCCACTGGGCTTCTAGGATATGGTCGGCATGGATGCGCTAAGGACCTGCCTTGCCAAAGGGTACACCCGCCCTGCTCCTGCTGGCCGAGGCAAGGGGGTTCTTCCGGCGTGAGGTAATGTAGGGGCCTTCATAATTAGAAAAGGCTTTGGGCGTATAGTACACTATACTTACAAAAAGGAACCCCAAACCATACTCTAAGTATTACGGCCCCTACAGTGTCGGGTTGAAGTCATGACCAAGTCTAACGATGTTGAGTTGAGGGTGTAGGATGTGAGGGTATGTAAACACACACACATGCATGTATGTATGTATGTATGTCTGTAGATAGGTGTGGACATGAACAGCAGTAATGTGGCCGCCTCCGTGCTCGTAAAGGGCGCCAAACTAGAGCTGCTATCATGGTTCGGGGCCCTAAACCCTAAACCCTATACAGTTGTACAGGAACCGGTTGCGGCACAGATCCCTTTCCGGGTCCCTCATGAGATCTTTTATGCGCATAAGCGTGCCCACCGTCAGGCACACTGAAGGCGCAGTGTTGTACGTAGTCAGTCCTCAAGTGGTTGCTTCGGGACAGTCCGCAATGGATGCATGCATAAACCCTAAACCCCAAACCCCAAACCCTAAACCCTAAACCCTGATCCCCGACGTTTTGCCTCGATGCCCTCAGCCTGGAACTCGACACGCCCGACGCGCATCACCCCAGGCCCGGGACAGTGTAAGCCTTCCTGTCCAAAGCTGCACCGATGCAACGCCGACTATGAGACCCATCGAAACTCCTCGCCAACTAGATGGGAGTTTCCGAAAATTAGGGGTACCATATTTGGGGGTCCTTAGAATAAGGATCCTACTATTTGGGGTACTAGATTAGGGTCCGCTATTTTCGGAAACCCCCAGATGTTCGGATCATCGTCTTCTCTCTCCGCATCGGAAGCCCCAAGTCAGAATCGGTTAACTTTGAATCAAAGGGGAAAAGGAGGGACCCTTAATAAGGACCCTTAGGTATATACCCTTAATATAGCTATTATAAACCCATTATATAGCCCATTGTAGGGTAGGGGTCCCCATTAAGGGTCCCTCCCTCTCCCCTTTGAAAGTCAGCATCGGTTCACTTTGAAGTCAGGTTGCCTTGGGCAGCAGCAGACAGCCGGAAGCCCATCTCCAGCTCTGGAATTCCCAACCTAGACGGTCTTTTTCTAGGTAGGGCTTTGAGATATTTTATATTTGCGCTTATTGGGCTTAAGAGGATCTTACCTACTAATATTTTTCAAAGGCTTTAAAAGCACCTCCTCGTTTTCCTTGAGCGATACCTGGGGTTTTCGATGTACTTGTAGACAGGAATATGACCCGAAACCATCGGTGCACTTACCTTCTTTTAGGTACGTGTACTTTACGGGTTCCTTTCAAGGTCTTCTTAAAGGGGCTCCTTTACGAGTTCCTTTTTCCCCTCGCTTCCACTCAGCCTGAACTTCCTGAACACTGAGCTTGAAACCTAGTTAAGCCCTAAACCCAAAAAACCTGGAGCCAAACCATGATACCCTGAGCCAAGCTCATCCCTAACCGCAAACCCTAAGCTCTCAACCCCAAACTCTGAACCCTGTATATATATATATGTATATGTATGTACACATAACCCCTAAAACCAGAACCCTGGATATATGTATGTAAATATATGCATCTATACACACCCTAAGCCCTGAACCTCATATATGTATATATACATATACATTTATGTAGATATATGAATGTGTACATATATATATATACATACACATGCATGTATATATATATGTATATATAGATACATATATAGACCCTAAACATTAAGCACTGAACTTTATACATAAGCCCGAAACCCTGAACCTTCTACATAAAACTTAAATCCTGAACCCTGAACCTTCTACATAAGTCCTAAACCTTAAACCTTATACATAACCTCTAAACCCTAAACCCTGAACACACCCCAAGCCCCTCCAAGGCTCAATGAGCCGACGAAGGGGGTAGAGAAGCTCCCACAGGGCTTCCAGTCGGAGCGCCAAGATTCCTCGGATTTTGGAAGGTTCAGGGTTGAAAGGGTTGAAGCTTTCAAGGGCTCTAGAAGGGTCCGGACACATGAAGCCGTTATTGATATTATATACATATACATGTATGTATATACATATATATATATATGTGTATACAGATACATATTATGTACATCCATCCATCCATCCATCCATCCATCCATCCATCCTTGAATTCTTGCTTGCTTGCTTGCATGCATGCATGCACGCACACATGCACACACATCCCCCTAGGTCGCTTCATGCCATTGGGGCCTTCCGTCCTTCGCTGTCGCTGGAGCACAGGCTTTTGTGGCTTTGGGGGGTAGTACGATTTGGCGTTTAGGTGGGCTTTTGGCAGCCTGGCTGTTGGGGTGTAGGGTTTGGGCAGTTCGGATGGGGCTTATTGATCCGAGAATCGGGCGCCGTCGGTTTCACTGCCGTTTGGTGGCAGGTCTCTTTGCACGTGTTTGTCGAACTTCGTACCAACTTTTTTAGGGTTCCTCTCAAGGGTCGGAGTTCAGACGTTGGGTTCGGCTGGGCTGGGGCTCGAACATCGGGGCTGCGATGGTTCAGGTTCCGGGCTGATATTGCAAGGTTTGGATCAGGATTCAGGCCTTAGATGAAAAATATACAGTTCACTGAGTTCACGGTATTCACTAACATTGAGGCATGAGGCGTCAGGGTGTACACGAACAATGTAGGTCTCTTCGCATCGGTGTATTTGTGGGTGCTCCGCTTCATCGTTAGAGTCAGTGTCAGGGGAAGTAGCTTGAGTTGTCAAAAACCTACATGAAGATTAGGGATTAGGATTTAGTGCTTGATTTAGGACTACGAAAGCAAAAGGCGGAGCCTAGCAAATGATAGGACTTATTTGCCTCACCCATGGTCGGCACCATCATCAACATCATCGCCAGTAGCAGCAGCATCACCAGAACAGCTGCACCACCTTCTGCATGTTCATCATCAATCGAAGAAATCAGAAGATCAAGCATCCTCCATGGTCGAAATTGGCTTAAAGACCACGGCTAGTGTCAGAAGCCTGAAAACCAATATACCACGCTGGCACGCCTCAGACTTTTTGGCAACCCAAAGCCGTACCTTTGCGAATCTCGCCTCAGCAGGCCCAATTGAGCTATTTCTGTTCGGTTCCAGACCCACAGGTTTGCGGACGGTACCGCCGTCACCGTCCCGTCCGGCTCTTTGCGTGAGGCCTTCCCAACGTGGTGCTCGGGGCTAGCATTGATATGGTCCCAGGGTTTTTGGCAGGTAAGTAGCCTTTACAGGGGACATAGCTCCCTCGAGGGAGTGGCAGAATCGCTCTTTAAGCGGGCGCGTGCAGGTTGGATGCCCGTCATATTTTCGAAGGAGCCGTGCCACAATACTTACTTCATCTTAGTTCTCATGGTTGTGCACGTGGGCCTTGAAGCGTCGACCCCCACATCCCGAAGCCATTTTGCGCATGCCTTAGGCGCCGGGATTCTGGAGTTATGGGGTACAGACCCCAAGCCCCAGACTCTCCAAACCCTAAGCTCTAACCCTAAGCCCCATAAAGCCTAAACCCTAGACCCCGAAGCCCCAAACCTTGAAGCCGTAAATCCTTAGCTCTGATGCTGCAGGTGCCTGGGGCCTCATGGGGCCAGTACGACGAGTATGTGGCCGGAATCTCAGGGGTTAGGGTTTAGGGTCTCCAGGATTATAGTATATCAGTATATCATGGCATATGACCGTCTATTGTGGTATGTTACATTATATGTTCTTGCAAACTATAGTAAATTGCAGTTTCTTATGGTTCCGTTGAGGGTTCCTATATAGATGATTTAGAAATGAGTTCACGACGAATTGCCTTCGTACTTCCTTTATGTGGGGTTCAGTGCCAGGGCAGGGATTAAGGTTGGCGTCACTTGACGCAGGATGACAACAAATGCTGCCAGGTATGGAGATATCAGATGTTGAACTTTTGTCGGGATTTGTGCCGCAAGAAGGCAAGAAGGCTCTATTTGGTGGAACGTGCCCTGTGGTGCGCGAAAGCTTGCTGGAGCTCTTATAGCATGACCAGTCGCTACGATGTGGGTGTGCTCAGGCCCCAAAACAAACCCTCATCCTAGTATGAGGACACCTGCACAAGAAACTCAAGAGCCTATACCCTTTTACTGGCTGTATCATACCTGTTAGTATGTTACTACTATATTTTGAGTGTTACTACTGTTTCAAGTTTTACTGTACATATTCATCCGGTTGTTATCTTTGCTTAACGGTTTGTCCGGATACTCCATTCGCTGGTGAACAAGGGAGCTCTACCCAGGTCTCTTGGCGTCAAAAGCCTCCTCCGCAACCTCCCTATGAGAACAGCATGAGACTCACAACCTCTCTTCTTCGCCTGTGCTAAACGCCCAAGGTCTTTAACACTGCGCAGGTGCGCATGAGATATCTTGTCGAGGTACCGAGGGACTACCGAGGGTCGGTTGTCATTTAGGGCTAAAGAGTTTAAGGCTGTTAGGGCTTAAGGTTCAGGGTTTAGGGTTTCGGGTTTTGGTTCTACGGAATAGGGTTTTGGTTTCAGTGTCTTGGGTTTAGCATTTAGGGTTTGGTGGTATGGCTAGCAGAAATTCAGGTTCAGGGTGCAATTAAGGTTTTGGGGGCTTTGAGGGTTTCTCTATTTCTGTATCGGAACATGCAGGTCCTAGTCCTATACCTGCTTCAAGGATCATGGGACATAGTAATAGGGCTATGAGTAGAGCAATATAGGGGCCTCAACGATTACCGTACCGTTTTGGGGCTCCTTATTTTGGATTACAGCATGCTTTGCCCCACAACCCTGTTCCAATCATTCAGGCACCTATTTTCTCTACTGCTACAACTACTTACATAACCCCAGTGAGGGCGCTTACGACCTTTCCTACCATGTCCCATGCCCATCCAAGCAACCCTAAACCCTAAACCCTGTTGACCTGCCATTTCCCGAAGAACAAATCTGCCTCGGGCTTTCGGCATTGATGGCGTCGGTAAACTCTAGTTGTTCGTTTGTTTTGGCTTTTAAAGTATGGTGATATACGGATCGACTAATTAAGAAAATGGTATCCCCTTATGGTCCCTATATACTTGTACCATGCTATACAGTTGTGCCTCCAAACGCCTCATTCTAAATTGTGATGGCCCGGTTAGCAGTAGTATAGGGGCCCAAGGAATTGCCAATACTACTTTGGGGGTTCCTCATTATAAGTATAGTATACAGTATAATGGGCCCCAAAAACGTATTCTATTCTCATGATGAAGGCCCCTACAGAATAGAACCCCGATATAGATCCCTTTCCATAACCCTTATGTAGAGGCCTTAAAAAGGAAGATTAATCTAACTATGAAGGCTCCTACATTCGTCTAATCTCATCTTCACGGCTTTTTTTGGTCGTTTTCAGGAAGAAAAGCCGGGCCTCGGCTCAAAAAGGGCTTCGCTTGGGCTTAGGGTTTTCTTCGGGCTTTGGGATTTTTAGGGCTCAGGGTTCCGGGTTTAGGATGTAGGGCTTAGAGTTCCGGCTTTAGGATGTAGTTAGGGCTTAGGGTTCCGGGTTTAGGGTTTACGGCTCAGGGTATCAGATGCAGAAGATCTTCGTGAGACCCTAAGCATCTTCATCCCTCCAGTTCTGGGTTTAGGGCGGAGGTGTAGACTTTCTAAGTGATGACATTTGGAAGGTGTTTTACTCCCACGGTGTGGGCCAGGGAAACCATCGGAAACCATCGGATGCTCCACTTAAGCTCTCAAAATCCTCACGCTCCAAACCCTTTCCTAAACCATTTCGCAGGTCGAAGAAGGCCCACCAGAGCCATGAGCCCACGTCGCGGGCGCACGCGCGGGGAGTTCGGGTTGAAGCCTTCCTTCAGGCCGATACTTCTCTCTCAAGCCTCAGGATCCTAAACTTAGTAGCTGAGTGGATACACTTCAAATTTTTTTGGATAATACTAGCCACTGTAAAACTAAAATAGTACACTGTTTGTGGCTTATGAACTCAGCAACTAAGTAAACCCTAAAATCAACTTTACCCTGAACCGCGAATCTCAATCCTGAGTTGGGATAAGCCTTCAAGCCAAAATAGCACAGACTAATGCGAATGTCTACAGCGTGCAGTGGGGTCTATGCCACGAACAGAGTGGACCCAACCCCAAAAAACGTCCCATGGCTTGAAGGGAGAAAGAACTACCTCCTACGGTTGATGATATAAATCCTGCATTACCCATAATAAGGAGTATACCATAATTCCCATAGTTTTGGGTCCTTAAGGTCATGCAGGATTTATACCATCAGCCGTAGTTACGAGGATCCTGATCATGCGGTTGCGAAAAGGGAGCACAAGGGTTTAGCGCCTGGGGTCTTCGCAGGATCACAGCTAATGTAGGATCCTGATTAAGAAACCTTGGGCCTTTATTAGGGCTCCTCATATGAATCCTAGTATGTTGGGGTTACAGGCCCCGGGTTTCTTAATCAGGTTCCTATATCAATTATCAGGGTTGATGGAATGCAGAGGTGAGGTATGTTGCTCAGGGCCAGAATGTCAAGCTTCCCAAAATTCGTGTAGGACAAAACAGAACACCCAACCCCAAGCTAGGCGGGCTTGGGTTTAGGGACGTGCTGGGTGTAATTAAGAACCGAGGTCGAAAGCTGAACATTCACAGAATCCTGACCAGCAATCCAGGAGTTTCAGCTGTACTTCACAGTGGAGGTTTCGAGTTTGGGTATTCGGCTTCGAGCCGGCCGTCAATTTTGAGATTTACATACGTGCCGCAGGGCTTATAGACCCTCGTAAGTAAAAATAAATATTCAGAAACATATTTGCAGTTTTCGCACTACTACTACTACTACTACTACTACTACTACTACTACTACTACTACTACTACTACGACTCCTACTACTACTACTACTAGGTGGTGGTATTTTTTGCTTATTTTTTCCGTTTTTTTTCTTATTTTTTTTCCGTTTTGCTCGTGGCAAGCAAGCAAGCAAGCAAGCAAGCAAGCAAGCAAGCAAGCAAGCAAGCAAACCAGCAAACAAGCAAGCCAGCGAGCAAGCAAGCAAGCAAGCATGCAAGCGTGCAAGCAGGCAAGCAAGCAAGCAAGCAAGCAAACGCGCAAGCAAGCAAGCAAGCAAGCAAGCAAGCAAGCAAGCAAGCAAGCAAGCAAGCAAAGAAGTAAGCAAGCAATAAAGGAAGCAAGGATGGAATCGTTGCAGCCTCCTGTTATTACTACCTACTACCTACTACCTACTGCCTACTGCCTACTACCTACTACCTACTACCTACTACCTACTACCTACCACCTACCACCTACCACCTACCACCTACCACCACCTACCACCTACTGCCTACTGCCTACTACCTACTACTACCTACTACTACCTACTACTACCTACTACTACCTACTACTACCTACTACTACCTACTACTACCTACTACTACCTACTACTACCTACTACTACCTACTGCTACTGCTGCTGCTACTCCTACTACTACTACTACTACTACTACTACTACTACTCCTACTACTACTACTACTACTACTACTACCTACTACTACTACTACTACTACTACTACTACTACTACTACTACTACTACTACTACTACTACTATACTACCACTACTACTACTACTACTACTACTACTACTACTACTACTACTACTACTACTACTACTACTACTACCACTACTACTACTACCACTACTACTACTACTACTACTACTACTACTACTACTACTACTGCTATCACTACTACTACTAACTACCACCTACTACCTACTACCTCACTACCTATTACCTACTACCTAGTACCTACTTCCTACCACCTACCACCTACCACCTACTACCTACTACCTACTACCTAGTACCTACTAGCACTGCTACTACTACTACTACTATTATTATTACCACGACGACGACGACTTTGACTACTACTACTACTACTACTACTACTACTACTACTACTACTACTACTACTACTAGTACTACTAATACTACTACTACTACTATTACTACTACTACTACTACTACTACTACTACTACTACTACTACTACTACTAATACTACCACCTACCACATACTACCTACTACCTACTACGTACTACCTACTACCTACTACCTACTACCACCTACCGCTACTACTACTACTACTACTACTACTACTACTACTGCTGCTGCTGCTGCTGCTACTGCTACTGCTACTGCTACTGCTACTGCTGCTAAGCCCCTTGGCTCCGCCAGGTAGAGAAAGAGATGCTGATCAAAACGCTGGGCCTCTGCCACCCCAACAATAGCGGATCTTCTAGAAGCCTCCGGTCCACCAACTCAAACACGGCTGTAGGCTGCATGATGGTGCATATCCTTGGGCTCATTGGGCTCATCACAGTCAGTCTTGGTCCTACCTCTGACCGTATATCTCCAGAGGGTGCTCTCATCCATTGCTGGCCCGGAACTGAGATGAGCAACAGAAGCCACCGATGTGTGCCCTTCTCTTCAGTCTGTGCTGTGGCCGCGACTCAAAAGCCTGCCTATGCGTGTTTCCTGAACCGCAGCCTTGAGCAGGATCATCCCTGGGCCTTAGCTCACTGGACATGTCGCCCAAGGAGGCTAAGGCTAAGCAACGCCGGGGCAGTGCAGCAAAAGCAGCTGCGAGGTCGAGGAGTTCGCGCTCCAATAGGGTCGCACCACCACCGAAGGCAAAGTCGTCCAGCAGTTCGCCGACGTCCCCGCCATCGCCGGACTCCGACTCTGGAGGCGAAGGAGCCAAGGCTAGTGCATTGGCGAAGCACACCTCGGTGCCGGCCGGTCCACCGCCACCAGTGCCGGTTAATCACCCCAGCCGAAGTGGTGCAGGACTCAGGCCTGCCGGCCCACCACCGCCGGTACCTGCCTTCTCTTTGCCAGGTGCTCCAGCAGGTATGCCGACCTACCCCACGCCGGCACAGGCATTGGCAGCCGTGGCTAAGGCCCCCTCTGGTCTATCGAGTCCTGCAATGGCAACAACTACTACGCCAACTGCGATGCCTACATTGCCACGACCTGGGCTACCTCCGACAACAGCCCCTGCCAAAGCTGCTCCCACTATCACGGCCAAGGCTAAGGCAACAGGGCAGATCCCCGGGTGGTCGATTACCATCAACATTCGGCCCCTCCTATGATCGAGTGCTGAGGTATGTCCAGGCACGACGTTTCTGCAGAGCTAGCACCACAGGTACATGTGACAGTCGTCAGTCCTCTGCCGTCTCTTCCTGTACGAAGACTTGTCGATCTGTGCCCAGCAGCCTTTCAGGTCAGATTCACAAAAGCCGTGCTGTCCTTGTCAGTGTGCCAGTACTGCCACACCTAAGGCGCCCATTGCTACTGTCACAGTGGCAAATCCTCCGCGATGACTGTACTGCCCAGGCTGTCCCCATGGCAGGCTCCGATGACTTCGAGAAGGCTCCAGGTCAGCGACTTCCCTCACCTGAAATCGGAGCTCCCCTGCCTAGAGTTGCTCGCCACAGGTATCAGGTCTCCCGAGACGACCACTCCGCTGTTCTCCTTGCCCACCACCGGATTTGGGCCTCAGCCTTGCTGCTGCATCTCGCGACCAGCCAATATGCGACTCTGCCGCGTCCTTGTGTGCACCTTGCAGCCCCACCATGTGGTAACCGTGTGTGCCTGCAGCTCTTTCCATACCAAGCATCACTGAAGATCCTGGAAGAACATGTGGTGCCTCAGCAGCTTGCCACTACTTCTGCCAGTCTTGCATTCCTTAGGGCTGTGAGACCTCTTGCAGACTGCTCGCAGGTAAATTCTCCTCAACTTCTTAACTCGATTGACCACCCTGTGCTAAAGTGCCCTACCTGTGCCTTTCGAGGGATCATGGAGTCAGCCTCTGAGCACAGCTGGCCAAACTGGCAGGCAGCACTTGTTCCGCTTACAGTCGGGACAGAAGTGGAGGTGACTGATGGCCACAGACAGCACCTTATAGGCCGCCGGGCGATTGTGCTCCCTACCTTGGAGTGTGATCACAACACCACCCGGAATGTGCGGATGATACAAGGACCTCGAGCTGAACAACGACGTATCTATACGATCGACAGGGAACACCTCGTTCCCCGACTGGGGTCGGAGGCTACACAAGCTTCCATGTGTGATGGAATGGAGCCGAGTCTGAGGTGGAGATGTGCACCCCCACCATTAACCATCTTCAGCGCACGTTACCTTCTTGGCTACCAGGCCCTGGCGACCATGGTGCCCCCGGCGGCACCCAAACGGAGTCCAGCTGGCCACTATGTCCATCCCCCGCTGGAAGATGCTTCGCTTGAGGCACCCTGGGAAAAACACGCTGACCCAGCTAGCAATCGGCCATTCTACTACCACCCGGGGACAAAGCAGGTGACTTGGCGAAAACCACGGCCGGCTCTGGTCCTTCCGAGGGAAGAGGAGATTGGGCCCACCAAGCCCAGACGAGGCAGGTCTGAGATACCTCAGCCGCGCACTCCTTAGCCCACCTCCTTCCAAGCGGGTGAGAGTGCATCCCACCACTGATGCCCGGCAGAGAACTATGAGCTCTGAGGTCCAGTCGTCAGGCTCTACTGCAGCCAAAGGGATGCCAACCGCAGAGAGGAAGCCTGCTCCGGACTTTGATCCTCAATCTTCTGGTGGCCCTTCCGAGTGGAACTTGGCCGATCATGCTTTACCTGCCACTCCAGACCGGGTACTGCTCTGGGGAGCCAAAGCCAGGTCTCAGCTACCACAACCGCCCAGTGCCCCTGCCTGCACTTTGGACGTGGAAAGATTTCTCAAGAGTTTCTTCAGGACACGGCAAGGCCCAGACGGCACATCCCTTGCAACCTTACTTGGCGACCCGACCCCGCAACCTGATGGTTGGTGGCGTGTCCCGTGGACTCCGCTGGGAACCTCGCACTGCGAGTTGCTGTGTCAGGGTGGTTGGCAACGTGGCTGGCACGGATGCAAGATGGAGGCACTCTACTCCATCATTTACCATGGACAGCTCTGGTCCTGCCGAGCATCGATGAGTCGAAGGGTGACAGGTTTCTGGCAGGGTGTCCAGGGGTGTACTTGCACCGAGACAGCCTGCAACACAAGGTGGAGAACTACATGAGGTGGATACCACTATGTGGAGACGGTCTCTTTTGGGCTGCCAAGTGGGAGGTGGTGTATGCTCCCTCGGGGAGCACTAAGCATGGCAAGCGAACTGATCAGGTTATACAAAGTGCTGAATCGGTGGAGCTGGTAGCCCTCTGGCTCTCGGTGCGCTCCGAGAACATGATGCCTGATGGGACCGCTGTGCAGGCCAAATGGTCCCCTGAACGTGAGGCCAATCCACGCCCTACTCAGTCCAGGCGAAGAAGCAGTGCTCTGATACAGACCATGGACCTCACGGAACCGTCCGCCTCTTCCAGGCCTCTGCCCAGCTCCAGCCTGAGTTCTGACCCGGCGATCGACAACAAAGGCCGACTCAAGCCGACGCCTAAAACACGTGGTCGCTTGTCACACATCCCTTCTGAATTGGAGAAGGACCGGACGCCAGCACAAGCGAAGCTCACCATACAATCGGGCAATCTGGTGCTGAAGTCGGCCACAGCAAATAGCTTGGAGGCCCCAATGTCTCGGAGCCACAAGACCTTGGCCACCACGACTGCTGCAACCCCTGGTGAGGCTACGACTGCTACGACAACCACTCCGGCTATCACTTCGGAAGTCTCGCCCCAACAGCCCCCGTCAGATCTACCTCGCCGAGGACCAAAACGGGCTCGACCTGACACTTCCCCTGCCACTCCGAAGCCACGGAAGATGCAGACTAGGCCCAAGCCGAGACGATCGATTTGGTTTGATGTCACAGACAATCCGGATGACCAACCACTCTCGTCCTCCATAGCTACAGCCAAAGGCCGAAGCACTGGTCCGATCAAGGCCGCCAAGCTCCAAGATCGTGTCCGCAGAAGGATGGCCAGGAAGATGGAGGAAATTTTCCAGGCCAATAGAGCCGCTGGACTCAGCACGGACCCAGCTGCCTCATCCAGTGCTGCATACAAGGATCCAGTTTACAGTTCATCATGTCAGCGTCTGCATCAGCTTGGACAGTCTTGCAAGAGACAACACATGCCCCTTTCACTTAGACCTGCCATGCTCTTTGCCTTCGCCCCTCTCAGGTCCAGCCCACCAGTGGCTCCGACAGGCCAAGTTGACACAGGCGGGGATCGCTTTACTGAGTGCTCGGTGTTGCAGACCTCTGCACCTAGGTCCGGGCAGCCACCTAGGTGGGTTCCCTGCTTACAAACCTTTGTTGCTTCCTCCACTGGCTACTGCCTGCAACACTTGCGGCTATCAGGCTCGTGTCTGCCGACATGTCGGATGCCCGACGGCAAGCCCGGATCCTCGCAGGTCCTCTTGTTACCCTGCTGGGGCTTTGAAAGGCCACTGAGCCCTTCCACATGTGCCTATCCAGGCCTTGAACGACCAGCGTGCACATCTACCACCATGCCGGCCGGGCTCACATGGACCTACGGTGCCTCCCCACACCGTGATGACTATCGATGTGCTGTGACTCGAGGTATGCCAGCTGCACTGGCAACAGGTCCTTCTCTGTTGCACGTTCACTGCACCATTGCTGTTCAATATAGTCACCACACCTGGCAGGGGTGGCCGGATGCTTTCCTGACTGACCAACCTGAACAATGTCTGGTGTGCCTTCGTCACACCAGACCATCTGCTGGTCCTGCTTCGGTACGATGCCCACCTCCACCACCAGGAGCTGGTTTACAACCCGACGGGCTCTCAGTTCTTGCGACCGTCACTCCCAGGAGGATGATAGCTCCATCTAGCTGTTCTTCCAGCCTGCCTCCAGGTATGTCTTCGCCACTGGGCGCAGGCCAGAGGGTCGAGCAGGCATCACCCTGGGACTCTTACTTGTCCAACTTGTGCAGGATATCCCGGGCACGTGGCTTGCCTATCGTCTGGCGGACCCATGCTGTGAGTGGTGTCGGCTTGAGTACCGTAGATGTACACCATATGCCACCCGTATGCAACAAACCAGCACCTCGCAGGCTAACAAGATCAGATCCCGCGAGCCTGACTCTGAAGTGCAGTTGCAACACAAAGTCTCCCACACGGCACTGGACCTGCACACTATGGATTAGCTGTGTAGACAGTCTGCTGCACCGCACTCCGATGCCGATGCAAGCATTTTTGTCAACATGGACAACTAGCACTATAAGGTGCCCCTCTCACATTCTCAACACACCTGCTCTGAGCTACTCCGGTCCCAATTCCGGAGACCGACATTTTCGTACGGCTGACAACCTGTCATCTTTCAGACACCAGCTGGTTGTCCATCGAACAGTCGGTAGGGGCGAGGGTTGTGAGCGGCTGCCACCCGCTCACGAGACCGAAACTCACCTTCGTGGTGAGGGACGGGAAGCCGTGGCAGGAGCCCAATGAACTACACTCTGCTGTGAGGGCAGTCTTGCGGGACCCCCCACAAAACCACACTATTCGCTCTGACCCAGAAGTCACTCTAGGCATTGCTTGTTCCCCTAGCCTGACCTCCTCTCCGTTTTCAGCCATCTGTTCATCGTGGGCTGGTCCGAGAGACCAGACTGCAGGCCCCTGTGGCGTGCCAAATAGCATGGACAAGCTGCTGCCAGGATATGCTCCACCGCAGTCCAAGCCCCGGTATCTCTTCCTCTACAAACAGGGTCTTCCTATTCGTCTTGTTGCCATCTGGGCTCCAGCACTTCTACACCTTACCTCTCCTGGCCTTCCTCGTCTTAGGAGGCCTCCCTCTGGAGTACAACCACCAACACCTGCAACCCGACCTATCAACACCGCTGACAGGTGTCGTCCTCCGTCGAACACTGATCGACCTAGTCAGGCCCCTGGCACGTCGACGCACCCTAAGCTGTGCCCTCGTCCTATTCTGTTTCTCTCGACTCTGTTAGCCCTCCCAAGGTCGATCTGGGGAGTGCCCTCTGCACACCCCCTGCACTCTGCAGTAGCGGGTCACTCAGGAGAACCCAGGCCGGTTGCAGCCAACCCCACTGAGTACACATTTGCCAGGAAGCGATCTTACAAACGTGCCTTACGTCGTGCTGCACAGGACCAGGCCCAGCATACGGTTTATCGGGGCCGTGTCTGTACCCTGCAACAGCTTTGCAAAGGCTATCGGGGCCATCGACCCGCCCCCCAGGCTGAGCGTCGTATGCAGCAGGCCGCTCTGAAAGTCTCCCAGGGACGCTTGTTGTTCCTCTCCTGGAATGCTGGAGGATTGTCCCAGGCCCTGTGGCAGGAATTCTTATTAACACTTGAGAATATGCCGCCTGACGATCGTCCCCAGATCGTGTGTGTTCAAGAAACTCACTGGACGGATAAGGTGGCACCCCAATTCCCCACTGCTACGTGGGATGTGTACACCTCCCCGACCACTGATAACAAATCTGCTGGGCTCCTGATTCTCCTCAACAAGCAGACTACCCGTAACTGCAGAATTGTCTACGCCGACCCTCAACCGGGTAGGGTGCAACACCTGAGGATACTCCATGACCAATGGGCAGTCGACCTGCTGCACATCTATCAAAAGCCGCACAACTCTCATCCACTCGCCCTGCAATCTTCCAAAACCATTCGCTTAGCTGTTTGGGAGTGCATTGGTAAGATCCTGGCGGCTCTACCTGCCCGCAACACGGTGATTATGCTTGGAGATTTTAATACTCAGATCAAGCCATGTGCTGCAGCTGGCACCAGGATTTGTTCAGGCAACAGCTCGGGAACGCATCCACCTGATCAGGCACGGCTGCAGCATCTTGTCGAGGACTTCTCCCTCCTACATCTCAACTCATGGTGCAAGGCTGCTGGCCCCACGTACCATCACAACAAAGGTGCCAGCCTCATTGACCATATCATCATGCGTTCTTGCCAAGCGGATGACCGTGCTCGTCAGGCCAAACCTCTCCGCCTGGGACTAGCTGCATGGAGACTTGGTGGCTACCATTTACCACTGAAGGCCAGTATCCCGCTTCAGCGCTTCCACACTCTCAACAAACCGGTGGCACCAAAACGGGCATGGGACCATTGGGGCTTGATTCAGGTTTGCCGCTCTGCTTGGGATCCGCGAGTACAAAGTCTACGTACTGCCGTCCAGGCATCCCTACCTGGGGTCACTGATCTTGGGCAATTACATGCTACTCTGATTCACTGTGCATCCCAATTTTTCCCGCCGCCCACAGGTCAGCATCGGCTAGCACTATGGCAGACACCACCAATGCAAGATGGCATCCGATCCATGTGGCAGGCCTACCGAGCCTGGAAGACTGCCAAATCTCAAGATCGGCACAATCCGCTTTATGTATCCAGGTGCTATCATCACTTCAAGACGGCACACAAGGCCTTTCGTCAAGCCGGGAAAGAAGCTAAGAAGCACTGGTTCCATGGCAGGCTCCAGGAATTACAGGCTGCCGCCTGTTCGGGTGACTCCCGCAAACTTTATGCTGGCATCCGCACCCTAGCTCCTAAATCCTCCAAGCCGAAGGTTCAACTGCGAGATTCTGGTGGTCATCTGCAGGACCCTAAGATCCAGCTACAACAGCTGGAAACGCACTATCGTAAATTATATGCTGCAGACGAGGATACCAGCATCCAGGGCCCCCAGCGGACACCCATTCACATCGAGGTCACGGAGGCCGAAATGACCCTGGCACTTTCGCAATTGTCGCCCCACAAAGCTACACCTCCGAATCTAGCCACAAACTCTTTATGGAGGCTGACCTCGGACATTGTCGCGCCTCTCTTGTGCCAATGGTGCCGGCAATGGCCTCATATACCAGAGCTTTGGCGGAATGCATGGTTGACTCTCGTTCCTAAGATTCCGCGACCACTCTCACCCAAGAATCTCAGACCAATAGGGTTAACTGAATCCAGCGGCCGCGCATATGCTTCCATACTTCAGGCGAAACTGCGCCCCTATGCAGAGAGGTTCCTTGCGGACCAGGCACAATTTGCATATCTACCGGGTCGCAATGCTGCCCAAGCCATACACCGTGTTGCTGCTCACTGCAAGTATGTACAGGATCGCTGCTCGATCTCAACACCCACGGTTGTGGATCGTCACGCACAACAACCGAAACCCTGCCCACATTTTGCAGGTGCACAACTCTCACTGGACTTGTCCAGCGCTTTCGACCTCATGGACTGGCGCTTGCTGGACAAGGCATTACTTGCATCTGCAGTCCCGGCTGAGTTAAGACACCAAATCATGTCCTGGCACTCCGAGATTTCCTATGTCCTTACCCACCTTGGGCACACTGCCAAAGTGGAGGCCCAAAGAGGACTTAGACAAGGGTGTAAACTAGCTCCGTTGCTCTGGACACTTGCCCTGGCACAGATATATCGTGAGCTCCTTGCAGAGGGGGACTCGCTCCTCACAGCCCCTTGGCTAGAGCAAAGCTCCACGATTTATGCAGATGATATACATCTTAAAGATACCGTGCAGAACACTCGTGAGCTGGACGACATGGTGTATCGCTTTAGTAAGATCCTCGATGCTCTTGCTGCCCATGGTATGGTCATCAACTCGGCCAAATCAGCACTGTTGCTGAGACACAAGGGAAGTTTCATCAAAGGCTGGCTGCGACGACATCTCATACACAAACCCGAGGGAGACCTACTACGCTTTCGTAGCCCCCTGGGAAAGGTGTATGAAATTCCGTTGCGTGATCATCACACGTACTTAGGCATTCGCATCTCATATCATTCCCAGGCCAAACAAGCAGTCACCTATCGGCTACAGGCTGCGAACCAGGCATGGCAAAGACTTCGTGGTGTCCTGTGCTCTACCAGGCACCTTGCTCAGACACATTGTCTTAGTCTATGGAAATCCACAGTGCTTCCCACGCTGCTCTACGGCATCGCGGCATCCAACCCAGGTGCCAAGGATATCAGCGTATGCAGCACATGATGACCAAGCAGGTACGAGCCATCACCCGATCTTTTGCACATCTTCAGAAAGAATCCACACACGACCTCCTGCATAGATGCTCTCTGTTCACCATCTTGGAGCATCTCCAGAGGGAAGCCGCCGCCTTGCATCGCAGCCTGACTGGCCTGAGTACCCAAACGAGCTTCGTGACCCAAGCCCAGGTGGAAACAGCTCGAGACACAGCTGCTACGCTCCACCTACAGGTGCAACGCCAATGACAGGTACCTCTCGGTGACAAAGAAGGCATCACTGACCCTGCAGTACACCAGTGCCAGGAATGTCATCGGGTCTTCACCTCCTTTCGGCTACTACGCTCTCACGAGGCTAAGTGGCATGGACTCAAGACACCTGCTGCTGTCCCAGTGCCTTTTGATAGGTATGCACATGGAACAGAAGGACTTCCAACGTGCAGACATTGTGCCCATCCCTTCCGACAATGGGACGGACTTGTCAAACACATCAAACGCAATCGGTGCCAGGTACTCCGTAGACTTGCCACACAACCTCCCGCTGATGCCCAACCCTTGGCTCCGAGATCAAATGAATCCGATCCTTTACCAGTCCTTGCATCGGTCACCCTGCCACCTCAGGCCTCCTCTCAGGAGACCCACATCCTACAAGAGGCTCAGGCTGCTACGCCTACTACTATTCCTGTCGTTATACCTGAACCCCCTGTCACAGACGCTCCACTGCAGGACAGCTCCACTACACCGAGCCATGAGGCTGTTCCCCTTCATCAGCAATCTCATGTTCTCGCAGCGCTACGTGCACGCAGGTGGACTGACCTCCTTGAGAAGCCGGAGATCCAATCGTATCTCCAGCACCACTGCCCGCTGTGTTACCAGTGGCTAGCCATTCCTACTAGCATCAAGTATCATCTCACCATGCAACATCCAGAGTGGAAAGACTGCCAACCTGCGACTCTCAAGCTCCTTACTGGTTTCCGCCGACATACTGTAGTTCCATGTCGATACTGTCATCAGCGAAACATCAACAAAGATCGACATTGGAAACAGTGTCATGTCCTGCATATCTGTGCATTTCTAGCAGAGCATCATGACGCTCACCGCGGATCCCATGGAGCTGGACGAACAGGAGAGGCAATTTTGGGCCCAGGCTGGTCCGGTCAAACGGGAACAGGAACCGAGAAGAGATATGCTGCAACAAGCCGAGCAATCCAAGAGGCAGCGTCTGGCACCGCAGGACCGGAACAAGGGCAAGGGCAAGGGTACCAAGGGCAAAGGCAAGGGAAAGCAGGGCCTACCAAGTCCACCCAGTGCACACCCGACCATGGGTTACACAAATGGTTTCGGAAGCCATCCACCCAATCCATGGACACAGACACAGGACCTGCAGCCACTGGGAAGTCAGGATCCAGAATGGATGGAGTACAGGATGAATCGACTATCTCAGCTGGTCCTTCGTCAGGAGCAAATCATCTCAGCCATCCGTCAGGATCTGGTCCTCTACCTCTTTGTACGATCAGGACCAGAAGGGATGGTGCCAGTTCTATGCGAAGCAGCGGAGAAGTGGAGGAAGATGAAAGAGGAAGAACCCGAGAAGATCACTTACTCCCTCAAACTCATGCTATTCAAGCAACTGCTCATCACCCTGCATCAGAGGTTGACCAACATGATCGCGGACGAGGATGCTCTCGCCAAAGCCAAGAACCTGAACTGGATCGACGATCAGAAACATTGGAAACATCTCACATGGAATCCTTCCAAACAATGTCTGGAAGTCGACAACTCAGTGAGGCCAATACCGGCGGAGGATCTGTTGGCCCAACTGGTTCAGATGAGGAAGGCTGTTACGGAGGAGACCCTGGTGAGGTTCAAGTCCATGCGGAAGCTCACCACGGAGGTGACCTCCGACTGGATCCAATTCCAGATCTGCTTGTCACTTCGCCCAGAGGGAGGAGCCATGTGGAGTACGCTGAACCAGTGGATCGGTCAAGCATCGTGGCACACACTGGGATGCAGGCTCCGTCGCGATCGACCGAACTACGACACCCTGGTCCAGGAAGTGTGGCAACATCAGATGCCATACTGAGTGCGCGCCCTAGTCTCAAGGCCGTCCTTCGATTGGTCTTCCACAATCCATCGAATTTGTGCTACCTACACTCTACCATCTATGCCCTTCTGTGGGCCGTCCTTCAGGCTAGGCTACACGATGCCTACATCTCGCCTCCACCGCAGGCTCTTACCATGTTGTGTCCACCAATCACTGATTCGCCCAATTGTCCCATTCAGGTGCTCCATTCGGTACCGTGGCTTATGCTGCTGCAAGCTTGGCCTTCTGTACACCGTCAGCATGATGCAGCTGAGTTGATACAATACCTCTTACCCAGGTTTTCGCATAGTGGGTTCAATGGTGGCTGGGAGGCCAGAAACTTTGCACCTGGAGGTATTGTCACTCTTGATACGGGGCCTACCCAAGCTCCAATTACGATTGTGCTACCGGCAGGTCCAAGCTTGGAGCTTCAGGCAGCCATTGATGGGTGGAGTGCTCAGGTCACAGCCCGTTATGCACTGCTGACCCCGTCTCCCATGCTCTGCATACAACTTCAGCGCTTCACGAATGCCGAGGGAGTCATGCGCAGGGACACCAGACCACTGGCTGTGCACACTATGCAAGTTCGCTATGTTCACTACCAGGTCGTCGCTGTACAGCTTCACTACGGGGCCACTCCTGATATGGGGCATTACAGAACTATCCTACGAGGACAGCCGCTGTTTGGTGCAGAAAAATGGTGGATCACTGATGACTCCTGCACAGCAAAGTCAGTTGGCACAGAACACGATGGCAACATATATATAGTGTGGCTACGTCAGGTACTTCCTCCTGGTGCCTGACGCTGAGCAAGTGTAGTCTTAGTGGATGGAGCTGGCACTGCCCTCCAGAACCCAACAGAGGTTCCGATACCCCGAATACCGGGTTATCGTCAGCTCGCTAGGCGAACCCGGACACTTCGCTGCGTGGTGAATGAATGCTACTGCTGCTGCTGCTACTACTACTACTACTACCACTAATACTACTACTGCTACTACTACTACTACTACTACTACTACTACTACTACTACTACTACTACTACTACTACTACTAGTAGTACTACTAGTACGACTACTACTACTGCTACTACCACTACTACTACTACTACTACTACTACTACTACTACTACTACTACTACTACTACTACTACTACTACTACTACTACTACTACTACTACTACTACTTACTATACTACTATACTACTACTACTACTACTACTACTACTACTACTACTACTACTACTACTACTACTACTACTACTACTACACCTACTACTACTACTACTACTACTACTACTACTACTACTACTACTACTACTACTACTACTACTACTACTACTACTACTACTACTACTACTACCACCCCTAGTACTTCTACTGCTACTATGACCCTACCCCTACCCCTACCCCCACCCCTACCCCTACCCCTACCCCCTCGCCCCCTACCCCTACCTACCCCTACCCCTAGCCAAACAAGGGAAACGGAAAAAAAATAAGAAAAAAACGGAACAAAAATAAGGAACAAAAACCACGCCCGTTCACTACTACTACTACTACTACTACTACTACTACTACTACTACTACTACTACTACTACTACTACTACTACTACTACTACTACTACTACTACTACTACTCGGAAAAGTAATAAGAATACTAACATGAATATTCGTCGTCATGAAGGTAATAATATACCAGAAGCCCGAAGGCCTTCTGACCCCAAACCTGAAACCCAAATCCCAACGCCCCAAGCCCAGATGCCTACACCCTCAACGTTACAACCTGCGATGCGGAACCCATGACCCTCTTTCCTTCGGCCGCAGCCGCTTGCTCTCCGCAAGAGTGCCCAATAGTAGTATAGTCATCATCATCTTCATCATATAACCATAAGAATTTCAAGGAGACGGTCAGATGCAAACCCAGGCAGTCACGATACCTTGGCGAACTACGAAGTACAACGGAGGCGCCAAGGAAAGTCCTGTCGTAAAGCACAGGATGTGGAAAACAGCATTCGCTTTGGAGTGCCAGTAGTTCAGCCGAGGGAGGACACAAGAGGAAGTAGTACAGGGAAAAGCAAATCAGAAAATAGTGCTGATGGTAAACAGCACCAGCAACTTACTCAAATCGCAGCAGAACCGGCCCCATAACTTGAAACCCCAAACCCTGTCTTTCTCTGCCCGGGCCGGCTAGCTCCAGTCTGCACCAGACAGCCATGTTTGCGCAGAGTCCGGAGGAAAGCTGCTGGCTTGAATTCAGTTACAGTTTTGCCCCCCAAAGCCTCGAGCCTCTGGCCCTGAGCCCTCCTAAGAATAGGCTTCTTGAAAGAAAGCAGCTTGAAAGCAGGACGGTGCATGGGACCTCATGTCTTCAACCAGCCAGACTTGCTGAAGTGCTAGCTTAAGCTCAGATCTTGAACATCTTCAGAAGTGGAGATCCGCCTTAAAAGAATGGGACAATGACTCGGTGTTTAGAAGCCCGGAGCAGCTTTTGGGCTTTGGGGCTTCAGCACAGGTAGGAGTTTCCG